ATATTAATAATGGGAGTCCATTTTATTATGAGTTATACATGTTTATTGAGTGATAAATAAATTCAGTAAATTCACTATTATATTTTACAGTATTATTTCAGTTATAATAATTAGGATAAGGCAAACACACAATCTTTTGCCTTGACATTCATTTGAGTGATGAAATATATCATTCAGTGTCTCTGACTGGGATGATTGGCCAATTGAATTTTTATGTATGTCTCCAACATTCTCAAAACACCTCATGCGTTAAAGATCTCCAGAACTCTGAGTTTGGTCCATCTGTAGCACTTCTGGTGAGAGTATCAGAAAACTTAGACCACGCTGCCATTGGGTGTTTAGAACCTGTGAATTATATTCCAGGGGGAAATGTCCCATTTTTTTCAATTCTGTATCACTGATTTTGTATCTGGTACTTTTCTTTAAGCTGTTAAAGTGCCGTTAGCAAACCATATCATCATTACCCAGTGTTATCATCATAATCACTAATTGTGCAGTCCTTTATGTTGTAAGAACACAGACACCCACACACATATACACACACATGCATACGCACACCATTTGTTTCTCCTGTGAAACAGATTATTATGACCTTATTTTATAGATAAGGAATCTGAAACTCAAAAAAGGTTAAACTGCTTGGCTGTAGGCACCCAGCTAAGTGACAGAGCTGGAAATGGAGGTTTCTTCTCACCTCTTGCTAACCCCTTCTATCCCTGTTTGATGATATTTCCAGATGCAGCCCTTATGACCTCCAGAGATTGCATTTCCACCCCTGGGGACTCCAGAAAAATTAGAAGAAAAGAAAAATGTCCCTAGAAGCAGTATTCTACCAGCCTCTGCCAGAGATTGAGTTCGATTAAAGATGAGAAATTAAAGAGTTATGAACTCAGACAAGTCTGAGCTTTCCTTGTATTTAGGCTTTTACTAATTTGCAGGAATCACTAATTTGTGGAAGCACCTTGCTCTGCAGAAAGCTGCATGTCATTAGTGCAACCTCAGTGATCATGGTGACTTGAAGAAACCTGCTTCTGGAGAAAAATCCGATCAAATTAAGGAAGGCTTTCATTTTTCAGTCAATTTTTTATGACCAGTTAAATATCCAGTCACAATAGAGAGATGATTAAAATCTCTAAAAGAGTTTCTATGCAGGATCCATGATCTGGTGCTTTTTTTGCTGTGAAAAGACAATGGTTACCTCAGTGTGCAAAAAGAGGAAATAGTGGGGTGACTGGAAACCTTCAGTCTGAAGACAGTAGGGATTAGATGGAAATTTCAGCATCCTCAAAATCTGAAAATATATGTATCTTTTGACACAGTTTTTCCACTTCTAGTAATTCTTGATCACATTAACCAAGATATGGATATAAGAATATTCACTCAAGTATTGTTTTCTATAGCAAAAGAAGACAAACAAAAAACAAACCCTTATTCATCAACAGGGGCATGCCACATCCATCATCCCGTGGAATGCTAGGCAGCCAGTATAAACTATGAGGTGGCATGTGTGTGTGTGTTGGTCAGTCAGTCGTGTCCAACTCTTTGCGACTCCGTGGACTGTAGCCCACCAGGCTCCTCCATCCATGGGATTTTTCGGGCAAGAATGCTGGAGTGGGTTGCCATTTCCTTCTCTGTGAGGTAGTATAATGAGTACTAATAGGGAAAAAAAAGACTAAAATTGGTTATGTGAAAAAAAATCTATTTGTAAAACAGTATGTTTAATATAAGACCATTTTTGCAAAAATATTAATGGTCATCAAAAGGGAGGAGGAATAAAGGTTAGAACAGAGAAGAAAGACCAGTGGTGGTATGCATGCATATGGCTCTTGTTATCATTCAGGTGTGAGATGACAGAGAACATGAATTTGGGGGGCATATACTCATTCATTTAACAGGTATTTCTTAGAAGTCAGCCACATACCAGGTACTATCCTGGGTGTTGGGATATACATAGAACTTACATCCTAGTTGTATGAGATAGAAAATTAGCAAATAAAAGCATTAACACCTGCATTTTAGACAAGCAAAATCTATTATTAACAATGTTTTTTATTGAAGTATTGTTGATTTACAATGTTGTTTTTGTTTCAGATGTACAGCAAAGTGATTCCATTATACATGTACACATAGCTATTCTTTTTCAGATTTTTCACTTATAAGTTATTACAAAATATTGAGTAGTGTTCCTTGTGCTATACAGTAGGTCCATGCTGGTGATCTATTTTATATGAGGTAGTGTGTATCTGTTAATCCCAAACTCCAAATTTACCCCTCCCTTCAAATTGGGAGATTGGGGTTGACATATGCACGCCACTGTATATGATATAGGTAACTAACAAGGGCCTACCATGTAGCTCAGGGAACTCTACTCAGCACTCTGTAAGGACATACAGGAAAGGACTCTAGAAAGCAATGGATACATGTATATGTATAACTGATTCACTTCGCCACACAGCAGAAATTAACACAACATTGTAAATCACTATTCGCCAATAAAAATTAACTTCAAAAAGACAATAGACCTAATTTTAGGTCCATCAGTTTTGACAGTGCCTCCAGACTTGAGGCATGATTTAGGGGCTTACTCAGATGGATGTCCTCTAAGAAAGTGATTATTTCTAGTTAACCAGTCATTTATGGGAGGAAAGTGAATATAGTAATTAATTCTTATACTTTTCACAAACATTTATTTAAACAAATATGTAGACTCTTAGCTGTTTTCTTTATAGTATTAACCATACTGTTAAGATAAGCTCATAATAGAAAATAGTATATTAGTATTTTTTCTTTTTACACTTGGAAAATTATGAATTCTCAAATAGAACAGGTTAATTCCTTTTTAATAAAATCATTGGTAAGATGGGAATAAAATCAGATAGAATGTTTAGTTTTTCATCAATAGCAATTGTTTTATTTTAAACAGCAAATTTCACACTGCTTGAGATTATTTATTTGTAATGTAAACTAGGAGAATTTAATGATATATTGGACAATGATAACTGTTTTGTTCAAGACCATATTAATCAGGTTCTCTCTGTAAGCATACAGAGATTTTAAGTCTTTAAAATTAAATCAAAACTGAGAAACAACTGAATCTCTTAACTTTTTATGTTAAAAATATTTATTTCAAAATTTTATGAATAGTATTTACTTATTAATTCAGCGCAATTCATCAAATTTCTCCTGAGTGCTTTTTCTGTTCCAGATACTAGATGTTTTTTATACACCAATGAATATAGTATAGATCCCAGATTCAAAAATGCTTAGTCTAATGAAAAAGATGGCTGGGCAAACAGAAAAAGAATATAAACAGTTGGAGGGTTTGTTTATAAGTGTGTTTGGAGTGATTCAGCATTTCTAACCACTGATCGATACTGCCTAATTCAGAGTTTCCCCAAAGCAGAATTAAACTTTCAGTAATTGTTTTTGGAGCTAAGTGCAGTCAGGCACAGTCCCTTATGAGAACGTTAGACTCTTCAGGCTGAATTGCTATAAAATTAACACTTTTTTCCTGTAGGTTCCCTCTAAGATGCCTCAGTGATTAAGGAATGCTTGATCTTGCAAATTGTGTGTGTCACAAACTTCTCATTTTTCCATTTTTGCTTTTTCCAAAACCAGATCTGGAAAACAAGCAATTATTCCTTGTTAGGACAATACAAGTAGAAAGTAAACCTTTTTAAAATAAAAAGTAGATCATGAAATGTATGCATGTATGTAATTATGGGTGGATGTGGAAGAGTTGATCTGCTATGTGCCACCTTCCAAGGATATTTGAACAGTTTCCATCTTGTGTACCCACCCCCCCGGCAACCCACACACATATCTATGACTTTCAGTGTAAATATTTAGAACCTCACTTAGTTCCATCAGGCTGCTATAACAAAATACCACACACTGGGGATCTTATAAACAACATTTATTTCTCACATTTCTGGAGATTCAAAATCATAGTGTCAGCATGATACAGGACTCTCTTCCTGGTGTCTGTTTGCGACCCCGTGGACTGTAGCCCGCCAGCCTCCTCTGTCCATGGAATCCTCCAGGCCAGAATACAGGAGTGGGTTGCCATGCCCTCCTCCAGGGCATCTTCCCAACCCAGGGATCCAACCCCAGTCTCTTGCATTGCAGGCAGATTCTTTAGGGCCACATGGTTAGGACTTGGCAAATTTTTTTTTCTTCAACTTTCAAACAAAAGCCACACTCATAATTACATTGCAGTTGAACTACATTAGCTCAACCATCCTGTTAGGTATATACTGTAAAGATGCCTGTTCTACAGCTGAGGAAATGGGAGCTCAGACACGTTAAATTAATTCCATAAACATTCATTGAGAAACTATTTCTTGGAAATTTTTCAAATGGGCCTCACAATAAACTTGTCAGTCCTTTTCTATTTGCTTTCCCTGGAAGCAGAGACAAAACATTTTGTTGCTTATTTAGTAAACAGAGGATTCCTAAATGACCAGTATGGGGTTGAATTCAGAGTTCTTGCACACATCATTTCTGGTCTCTAAAATCTGTGTTTATATTCAGAGCAGAAAGCATGGCTGCTATGAGAACCAACCAAGTCAGCTGGGTTCACATTCCAGGCTCTTTTACTCTGTCTTGCTGCTTCTCCTATATCTTCCTGACTTCTCCACATTCAAACCCTTCTGAAAATTACAAATTAAAAAAAAACCAGAGTTTTAAAAAGTTAGAGATTGCCTTTTTATAGCATCAGTGACAGGACTCATCTCCAGAAACAAGGACATCTAGCACCTCTCATATAATTTGGTTAATAGAGTTTAAGCTCATAGATTCATTTTTAGGGTCATATCTGCATAAAACAGAATCTTGCTCTTCACAAATTGTGCGGTGACCTCAATTCTCAGATGGCTCCTATTACAAAAAGCTACAACCTCCTTTTCAGACCTTCCAAATTCAGTGATCAGAGGATAAAGCACACAGAATGTTGACTGTCCTGTTGGTGTGTCTGTCTTTTCTCTGCATGCATGTTCCAGGTGGGAGAGTTCAGAGCCCATGCTGCTGAGTGGACGGCCAACGTCACGGCTGAATTCAAGGAAACCAGGAGGCGGCTGAGCGTGGAGATTTATGACAAGTTCCAGCGCGCCACCTCCATCAAGCGGAAGCTCTCTGCAGAACTGGCTGGGAACCACAACCAGGAGCTGACTCCCTGTAGGAGGACCCTGTCCGTGAACCACCTGGCCAGCGAGAGGGACGTCCTGCCTTCCTTACTGAAAACAGAAAGTATCTATTTGAACGGATTGACACCACATTGTGCAGGCGAGGAAATTGCTGTTATTGAGAACATTAAGTAGCCCTCTCTTTGAAGAGCCTCAGGCATAGCCATTAGGTGAGGACTTCTATATGCTCTTTATGACTGTTGCTGGTAGCATTTTTAAAATTGTGCATGAGCTCCAAAGGGGGAAAAAAAATAGATACACCCATCATGGTCATCTGCCATCAAGAGAATTTGGAATTCTGAGCCAGCACTATTTTTTTTTTTTTTTTTGATGATGCTTGTTGGAACAGTCCACTTTCTTTGACAAGTGGACTAAAACAAGCGATGTCTGATGCCTTTTTTGTGCCCAGACTGTTTTCCCCCCTCTTTTCCTAATGTGCCATAAGGCCTCAGAATGAATTATAATTGTTTCTGGTAATAATGTAGCTTTGAGGGATCAGTCCTTACTTTTCAGGGTCTACCTAACTGAGCCTAGATATGGACCATTTATGGATGACAACATTTCTTTTTGTAAATGGCAAGAAATTCTTATGCAGCCTTTTACCTAAGAAATTTTCTGTCAGTGCCTTATCTTATGAAGAAACAGAACCTCTCTAGCTAATGTGTGGTTTCTCCTTCCCTGCCCCACCCCTAGGCTCAACTCCACAGTCCTTTTCCCCACAACTCCCGTTTGAATACCATACCTTGCTGGAAAAGTGTGTAAAATGACCGAAGTGATGATGCCCGAAGAAGGAATAGATGCCAAATTAGATGGACACTGAAGCAACACTCAGAAACCCTAGCGTTACAGGCACTGCAGAGAAATGAGGTGCAGAGATGGCCCCTCTGAGTATTTATTTGACTCGGGTACCAATGGTACATGTATACAGTGTAATTATTACCAGGCCAGTAAAATTGACTGCTCCCAAACAGTCCCTTTTTTTCCTGGCAGTATTTAAAATTTATCATTTATTACTATGATGTATATATATATGTGTGTATATACATATATATATATATACACATCTTTTAAAGGTGGAAGAAGAAAATCCATATATATCCATATATATACACACACACACACACACACACACACACATATCCATAAGTGATCTGACAAAAGAAAACTGTTAAAATGGATTATTGAAGATGAATTTAGACAGTTGGTGTGAATTGCCACTCAGATGACACGAAGAGAGCCAAACGATGTGTTATAAGCATTTGCTAATAAACATTTTACTGCCAGCATCTATCTGTTTTCTGATGTATGAAAGGCTTATATGGTTTTCTTTCCCTGGGTAACTTGTGCCCGGTGACGAGAGGGGATATGTAGGCAGAGCTGGGCACAGCCCTCGCCTTCCGTGGGTGTACCTCTGGAGATGTGGCTCAGTGTGAAAGCAGAAGCTGAAACTGGATCACTGTGATTTTGCACATGGAAAAATGCAGATTGCAGGCATAATTCATCTCTGACATTAGAGAAAAAGCTGTTATAGCACAATTTAAATCTTGAGAGTTTTTTTTTTTTTTAAGATAGAAAAGGCTGTTAGTCCTCTTTAGTTTAATTTTATATCCTGCAACTCTTTGGAGGTTTTCAGGATTCAGAAGAAATTCAGTAAAGGCACCTAGTAGATCGCTCCTCTTTCTTTTATTTTCATACATAAATCTGCTGTACATTGTAAATAAAATTTTTAAAACACAGAAAGAAAATGATTTCCCTAAATATAATTGCAAAACATGACTTTTATTCTTGGGGGTGGGAGTATTTGAATAAGTGGCATTCATATTAGGGTCTTAAAAAATAAACCCAGGATCTTAAAAAAAAAAAAAGAAAATTTAACAGATGCTTATTTTTCAAAATTTAAGCTAGAAATGTAAATATTCAGTTAACTTGTTGAAGGTACTTTTATAAACTTAAAGAATTCTAACCAAAATTTCAGAAAGTCAGGCTCTTTTAGAAGGAAAGCTACACTCATTTCCTCGATAACTATTCTGAAAGTTCATATGGTGGATTGCACCATGTATAAACTGTGAATTGTATTGACAAATAAAGTTTGTAATTAAAGTCAGCATCTTCTGAGTCTCCTGCTTGCTACTGAGGGTTTAGATCTGATCCTGGCTGTGCAGAATTCCAGGATGTCACAGTTCATGCTGAGTTTTTGTGGCTCCTTTGTTCACAATATTCAAGAAATATTTTTGATGCAGTATTTCTACCCTTGTTAAACACACACAAATGTTCTTCTTGGTGGCTGTTAATCAAAAGAAAAAATCCTGAAATTTCACTTTTGAAATATGATATTTTAAAGAGCATATAAATTCAAGATTGTTTCTATTAAATTGTTATGTCAATGTCTTATTTTGTCATTGTTAGACCTTGTCTTGACCTGCCTGAAGTAATTGGAATGCTGAACATGGGCACCTGAATGTTTTTGTAAGGGAAAAAACAAACCAACAGTCAAACATCCTGGCAGTGTTGAAGCCTAAAGAAGGTAGTTGCCAACTAATCTTCTTGACCTCATACCCCAAATATTTGGACTACATACCTTGTCAGTAGTTTACATAAACTTAATTGTTCATTCCCAAGCACCTTGATATTCAGTAAATATCCTAAAACTGGTCCCCAACATTATCCTTAGAATTGAGGGAAATCTAAGGAGGTGTGTACATATCATAGCAATTTTGTTTTTTCAAGCTTCCTTTTGTTTACCTCTTGTGGAGAGAACGTTGATAAAGATTTTGACATAAACTATGAGTTTATTTTTAAAACAGACTAGTTTAAGAATGAGTGGTTTTGCCCTGAAGGATGATTGAAAACAAAAAGTACCAAGCCCAGCAAGAATTAGAAACTCTCTTATCTGGAATCAGACATGGATTCTAGACAAGGCTTTTTACCTGCCTTACAGCTAGTAACTGTAAAATGATTATTTTGGAGTTCTTTTAATTTATTACATAAATCTATGTACCCTACTACCATAGTTCATGTCACACAGCCTTTTTCCCCCCAAATATTTCACTCTTGCTATACAGGAAAAAGTGGAACTTCTAAAGTCAAGAGGGAATTGAACAATATGTCATGACCTTAAAAAAAAAAATAACAGGCTATAAGGCTTGGTTTCTTTCTCAAATTCTAAGGGACACATGACATACAAGAAGAACTAAATCCCACCTCACTATGTATAAAAAAGTCTGTAGAATGCTTTGATTCTAAAGGCTAGGAGTTCAAAGAGATCAAGAGAAACTTTACATGGAACATCAGAAAAAAAAAATGTAGACATTCTGAAGATTTGAGATAGCTATTTATGCCTAAGAACTGGAGGCCTAGATCAACTTTTGTTTTCCTTTAAAAAATGTTTGTTGTTCTAGTAAAAATCATAACTTATTTGTGGTTTGCGTTCCTTATCAAAGTGTGAGTATAAATTTGCTTTTGTATAAAGTAAAATATGTCTCTATTTGAATACTCAGAACTGCATTAAAATTAATATATGATTTTTGCTTCAGCATGACTTTACTTAAATGGGTCTTTTCCAGAGAAACTTATTGGTCTTGCATATGCTCATGTGTTAGTTCCAAGACGGCATGGAGTGACCTGGTTACTTTGGGTAGGAACTTCTGAGAGTAACTTATTGTGGTTATCTTAATAAGGGGAAAGCTTCATAACTCCACGAGCCACCTTCATCCCACCCCACCTCAAAGGTTTATACAGCTTTTGTCACACATGATACTCCCCCACCCAGATCTCAGCTGCCCCTTCTTAAAAGACAGGGATTAGTTCCAACAACCAGGACTTTTGACTCTGCTTTTTTGTTTGACTCAACACCATTTGTTCACTAGGCCCCACCTTTTATTATATATCTAAGATTCATAAAAACCATTTATTTTCCCAAGATTAGCCTTATAAAATATGTTCACTGTTTTATGCTTGTCTCGGTTTACAACTTTTTTTTTTTTTCCTTTTATCTGTCATTCTTTTCAAAATTATTGATACTTTGGTGCATTGACAGAAAACGCACGGCCCGGTCTTTATTCTTTTTCTTTATCCTCTCAGACTTGGAGTCTCTCTGAGTTCCATATTCATCTAGCTAACTCCAGTTGGATTTCTCCACTTCTCCAATGCACTCTCATCATCTTCCCCCAGACCTGGAACTCTGTAGTGTCACCTCTTTCTGCAAAGGGCGTCCCCGTTCATCTGGGCGGCCAGGTCATCTTTGATGTTGTCTTCTCTGCTTCAACTCCATACCCACCTGTCACCAAGCTGTACTGACCTGTGCCCTGAATGTGTCTAGAATTTATACACAGTCATCACTTTAATCTAAGCCGTTGCCATAGCTGCCCCTTCTACTAACTGCTTTTGTTTCATGCTCCAGTCATTGATGGAAGAGTGGTCTTTTTCATATGCAAATCTGATTGTGGTCACTCTCCAATTTAAAGCCACTAATTGTCTTTCATTTCTTTAGCAGTGAGATCAGAATCTTTCAAATAGGACTTTTCTAGGTCTCCCTTTTGCCATCCTCTCTGGGTTCATTCCTGGGCTTCCCTTGTGGCTCAGCTGGTAAAGAATCCGCCTGCAATGTGGGAGACCTGGGCTGGGAAGATCCCCTGGAGAAGGGAAAGGCTACCCACTCCAGTATTCTGGCCTGGAGAACTCCATGGACTGTATAGTTCATGGGGTGGCAAAGAGTCGGACACGACTGAGCGACTTTCACCTTCACTTTCTGGGCTCATATCTCAAAGCTTTTCAATTATAATCCTGAAAATTTGTTTAGAAATTAATTGTAAAGCATATTTGCTAATACTTGTAAATGGGTGTCTTTTATTAGTAGAAAGCTAAATGCACATTTATTATTCTTGCCAAGTAAAATTCAGCTTTCTTCATGCTTAAACAAATTTATAAGCAGTCTGGGAAGAAATCCATTATTGGGTACATTTTGAACTGTATCCAATTGAGAATATTAGTCACTTACATGGTATAATTTTGAAATCAACTCATAGAATAAACATTAATTTCCATCCCATTGACACCTGAATTTTGTAGATAGTATCCATTTATATACTATAGAATTAAAAGAGTAGTATGCAGATGATCTTTACCATACTACCTATTCTGTTAAAAAACATTTTAGACTTTTAAATATTACTGACATTAGACTGTATGTTTCTGGAGTTTTATCAAAAATTCTAAGTGAGCATTGGTAAGAGGTAGTATCTGGTCCAGATCAAGTTTTATTACTACGCAAGTATTAGAGAGATGGGAAGACATAGCGTCAAGACACTTATAAAGATATCTGTCAAACCCATTCTGTTCCTTGGTCAGGTACAGCAATTAAGAGTATATACATGTGTGAGAAAGTTTAATATTGCTAAGGTCTAGATATATGCAGACAGATTAGCCAAGTGCGTGAATCTCTTCAATAATTACTTTGTATGTGCAAACAAAATATGACTGTTCATGGTTTACCAAGTCGACATTTCCCAAGATATTTTAATGTGCCAATCGCTGGAAATGCTAAGCCAAAGAAATGTCTGCTCTCTAGGAGCTGGCAAGACATGGGCAAGCAGCACAGATGGAGGGGAAGAATGGTACCGAGGAGCCCTGAACACACGGACTGTTGATGATCCTTGGAGGCCGAGGCAGAAGGGAAGGGAGAAGGGCTCCCAGTGGAAAGTTCCTGGGTCAGAGTGGAGAAAAGTGCCTCACTTGAGGCCCCAGTAAGGAGGTCTCTGAGTAGAGGTGCTTGAGTCTGAGTTCTTGGTGCAACTTTCTCTCCAGACGGTTACATTGCACTCTAGTGGGAGGGCAGCTTCGCCAAGGACACCTGCCAAACCAAACGACGTTGTCTCTGCCGGGGGCTGGGAGATCACACAGGGCATTCTGGCCTGGAGCCAGGTTCCTCAGAAAGAACTGTGAGGCCTCTCCAAGAATTTTGCATTTGACACTGGGAAAGCTGTTTCAAACTGTAAAACAGGGAATGAAATGAACACATCTGTCCTTCTAGAACAATCACTGGGGCAACAGTGTGGAACAGAGGCTGGG